TATGTATATTTAAGCGCCGCCAGCCGTTGCATTACCATACACGAACTCTGAATACTAATCTCGAGAAACGCGTTGCGAATTTTCTTCATCGCTCTCAATCTTCACGTGGCAATATTAGAAGATAACTTTTAGTGAATATTGACTTCACTGGGGAAGACGTGTACTTTAATTGAATCAATAAGCGACTTTCAAAAATGAAAGTCATTCACCTAAGAAAGACCTGAAGAATTTCGATTAATTTAAATACAACACTAACGGTTTCAAACACGATGTATATTAGTTAAAACTCATTTAGAAGTTATTTTAAATACGGCCCGACGATCCGGATGTTTTGAAGCAGCCGTGAGTGTCTGTAAGTCGCGTTTTAAGCCGTCAAAGTGTTTTATTTAAACGTGTACTACTCGCGTAAACTACAGACAGCATTTTATTTAATTTCGACGAAGTTCAAAAGTAAGAATTGTCTATAGTTTACGCGAGAAGTACAAAATTATACAGATTGTATTTAAAGGTAAAAAATGCAACAGCAGTTCCTCTCTATCACTGATGCATAGTTGTAGACAAAAATAACGTAACTCATATATTTCCCGTTCCAAGCCGTCAAAACCGTTTTTTAAACACACACCACAAAAAAATCTAACGAGTTCTTTTTTATTTTCTATGGAGACATGACATTTTCAAATGTCTATTTTCAATACCTGGTTGTCTATCTTGACAGGAAGTTTTATCAAAATTGGTAAAGCCGTATGCATTGAGATAAAAAAGTATAATCACAATAAGTGATTATATACTTTTGCACTTATGTTATTAAACACACAAGGGCACATCGATTTAATATTAATATATTTTTATTTGATGGAAGATATAATATCCCAGCCATATAATATCTCAAGAAGGTTGTCGACTTATTTGGCTTTGGATATTCGGAAAAACAGACTCAAACTGAACCGCGATTAAATATCACGGCTTTTCCATCTGTGGACGGTGGTTCGTGACCCTGACAGAATATCGCCAATTTAATACATATTTCATAAAAAATATAAATTGATTAGTAACATGATGGGATAGAACCCACGGCAAGTTGATTATTAGCGATAGTTTGGCACCACTCAGCAATAAGCACGTCAAATTATTAAATGTTGGAATACTATTAAAATGTTTTCGCTAACCTATGGTAAGCAATTTGCCTATTTGATAAGAGTTATGCTTTATAAGAACGGACTGGAAACTGTATACCTCTGATAAGAAAACGCGATAAGGAATTTACGCCATATGAATAAATCTACAGGTGTTTTTATCGGCGCTAAGATAATGTGTTATTCAATTAATAATCGTGATTTCTGATTGTAGAATAGATCTGTACGTGATGATTACATGCCTACGCGCGTATTTAATAGCAGAGAGTTTAATCGTTTTTATATAAAGGAGAAAATGAATAAATAGATTTTATTTACATACACACTTAACACATTACCTTTATTACATACATAATACGTTGAAATTGAACACTTTTAAGTAACGGTTTCAAACGCGAAATATACTTCTGTACATTAGATGAGCATCCGAAACGTCGGGTCGTAAAAATATATTAACTAATATAGTAAGTTATTTAAATGTGTATTTACGTAAACTACAGACAATAATCAACACCAAACCTTAAATATAATGTGTTATTCAACATTTTGGCAACCACAATAATAATTAATATATAGATAATAAAATGAAATTGAAGATCATAAAAATATTAAAATAGCAAACCATTATTCTTTTAAAGCAAAGTAAGAATACGTTGGCTTGAACGTATTCTTAACTTTGAACCCTAACTATGTCTATAAATAAAATAAAACTTCGTCTCTAGATTACTTAACTCTTATCTATTTAATAGCTATATCTGTAAAGATAATGATGTTAGTTACAACTATGAAAAATATAATGTTCAAATAAAACACTTTAACGGCTTAAAACGCGGTATGTATTAGTAAACTTATTTAAAAATTATTTTAACTGCGGCCCGTTTCGGTGGCTTTGCAGTGGCCGTGTCTCCCCGTGACACGTAGACAATGTAATTTTCAAATAAGTTTAACTAATATAAGGCGTTTTAAACCGTTATTTTATCTAATATTGTTTCATCTGAATGTGTGCTACTCGCGTAAACTACAGACAGTATTTAAGAATATAATGGTTCAATTTTAGGTAGAAACATTTTTGTGATACGGGCAGAAGTCGAACCCTCTACGTTCCGTATTGTTTTATCAACTGCAGCTTCGATCATCGAATTTTCTCATTCCTTTTATTAATGCACCTCTCGCAAATATTATTAGGCTGTATAATGCACTAAACGTGTTTCGACCTACCTTTACATAAGGCAAAAAAATCCTTCTTCAAACACTCGCATAACCCGTTTTACATTTTAATTATAACTATCGCGAACTTTATCTCGTAATCAGTCGATTGTGAAGATCGCACGTGCGTTGTTCTCAATGTTATGTACCGTACTGGTGTTTCACTTGTTAACGTCCCGCCCGCCCTAAGCCTTCTTATTGCCCTGCAGTCCTAAAGGTATCATAGGGAAAGGGTTATTATGGAAATAGCTTAACATATAACTATGTAAAAGGCTTTTACAATTAAAGAGGTTTGGTATAAATATCGTTTAAGGCTGAAAATCTGAATAGATCTCACGAGGGGTCAGGATAATTGAAATAAAATAGTCTAAACGGTTTAAAACGCGAAATGTATTAGTGAAACTTATTTACAAATTATTTTAACTATGGCCAGACGTTTCGTATTTTTTAAAGCAACCGTGATCACGGGAAACGTCGGGCTGTGGTAAAAGTAGTTTGTATATAAGTTAAACCGACATGTTTCGCGAGTTTTAGTTTATAAAAACGGCATTAAATTTCTCGTTTTATACCGTAAATAATGATCTGTGAGTAACTCTACAGTCTACAGTATCTTTTCATATATTCCACGTAAGTTTTGCATACCATAGTTATTCAAAACAATGTTGAAACAATGTCATGTATTCACTTAAATGTTGACAAACCCTGAGGGCCTTTGCATCTGTCCTGTAAGCTTGTGACGTCACGTCGATGTCAAGGTTTTAAGGTGTGCCTCAAACACGTGTTTGTTTATAACTTGACTAGCCGCCTCCTGCTTTGTTACCGCTATAGAAGGCAAAATCGCATCGTGTTTAAATGCTATAGGGTCAAATGTACCCCATGTATGTCTACCCTCTGAAATCATTAAAATAAAAGCCAGTACGATCCCATCTAAATTGTTCTAGCCGTTCTGATGCACTGATTAATTTCGTTGAAGAGTTATTGAGACAAAGTATACATTAGTTACACGTTTGTAAATATATATTTTAATGCAGTAAATAATGTATATGTGTGTATGTTTTTATATTTCTCTATTTAACTCTTGAATTAATAAAAATATATAATGAAATACTGTCTATAGTTTACGCGAGTAGTACACATTTAAATAAAACACTTTAACGGTTTAAAACAGTCTCCCCGTGACCACGGCTGCTGCAAAGCATCCGGAACGTCGGGCCGAAGTTAAAAATCATTTTCAAATAAGTTTAACTAATATATCGCGTTTTAAACCGTTAAAGTGTTTTATTTAAATGTATAATTAATTATAGATCTTCCTTAGTGGTACTAAATTAAAAAGAAGGTTAATTTTAATCCATAGTTAGTGTTATAATATTGACTCGAAGTTTATTGTTATTCAGCTAACGATAAGCAAATAACAGTTATAACTTTATTTCGTATACGGGGTGATGCGAAACAATAGACTATATAAATATTAAATATCTAGTAAACATATTGACTTTTTTAGTGGATACTTTAATTATTAATTATGAATATTTGATTTAAGCGCGGCGTTCAGAAGAAACATATCAGTTCACACTTCTTAATTAAATAAGAAATTGGGGCAGAAATGTCTGTATCTGTCTCTATGATTTGATCTACAGGCAACTAGCTTATTAGACTGTGTACTTATTAGACTGCGTACTTATTAGACTGTGTACTTCTTAGACTGCGTACTTATTAGACTGTGTACTTCTTAGACTGCGTACTTATTAGACTGTGTACTTATTAGACGGGCTACGTAAACGTATTAAGTATGATCCCGAACGTGTACAATATGTATCTAATTAATTCCACTTTTGTCCTAAATCTTCTGGACTTTCCCTTCCATCAAGTGAACTTTAAGTCTTTTCTCGTATGTAATGACATCGATAACAGTGACAAATGAAGCAGCCTGTAAATAATCCGCAATTCCGCAGTAATTTTGCACCTGCCATACGTACAATACAGCTAATAAATTGCTCTAGTCAGTAGTCGCGATGTGTTCTCGCCATCACTATAGTTGGTAAATCAATAGTAAATAGCGTTAACGACCCATTGTTTATCGCCAGTCAATCGTGTTGAGAATTATGAATTGCTGCATTCCAACGTCTATTAAAGAATTTATTAGCGATTCGATTCACTGCGTGCGCGCTGATATTATTTCAATATGTTTATGCACCTCACTAGTTAAACATTTTCTCGTTTTAGGGTTCCATATTCAAAGAATTACGCTACGGAACTGTATTACATTGCTGTATGTCTGTAAGCCAGTCTGCCCATTTGTCTGTTCGTTACTTGGTTGTATCCCACTACCAAACTATTATATTAAAGGATTCAAATAAACATTCTATTAATTTATAAGACTATCTAAAAATATTAAACGGAAAAATTAAAAACATATAACAAATATAGAATTAATTTATTAATAATTCAAATTAAAAGTATAATGTCTACATTGAAATTACATATGAGTCAACATAAATACATATAAATAATATATTAAAAATACACACCAATAACATACAAAATATAAATATGTACCTATATTTATATTATACATAACATAATATATGAATTAGACAAGAATTCTTTGGCGTTATTACTTAACAACTAAATAACAAATGTTTTAACTTACAGTGCTTAACATTACGTTAGTTCTTGGTTCGTGGACAAAGTTTGGAAAATATGTTTGTACCAGAATTCCACCGTCCGTCCCCAAGCCCCGAGTGTCGCGTCGTCTAGATTTAGTACTTCAATGAACATTTTCACTATCACGCCTTTCAAGTCCTGTGTAAAGTATATCATTTATTTAGGTACACTAATTATAACTTATATTACACATTGAATTAAATTTCTCGTGCATCTGACGAAACGGGTCACGAACCACCGTCCACAGATGATAAAGCCGTAATGTTTAATGGTGTTTCGATTTCAGTCTGTGGATTTCCAAATCCATAATAGATCGACAGCGCATCGTGTCAAGATGTTATATAGCTGGAGTATTGCACCTTCCATCAAGTGTACCACATAGTCGTCTGCCCTTCTCTATCAAATAAAAGCTGGCAAGAGAATTGCATTACGAAATAATATTTATCACTACACTATAAATCACGTATTAAATGAATATTTGGTAGACACGACGTACATGAAAATGCGACTCTTGAATTTTCCGTTTCCCGTGAGATTCGCCCAGCTTGTTCATCATGACAGCCACCACGTCTGGCTGATGGAGATTCACCACGGCCTGGTTCAACGAGGACATGAGATTGATCACGTGAGCTCTGAACTGAATATTGGTGTCATACTCCGATTCGGGAAGTTTTCTTATCATTTTGAAGAATTCTAGGGTTTGTGGATATGCGCGGAAAAATCTGAAATAAGGATTTTTCGTTTACTCATTGCCTATTGGGATGAGGTGGGCAATGTTGATACTTAGTAAAAATTATAATTAAACATTTCAGGCTATATAAAATCGAATATAAAAGAAGACTGTCACGGTAATTACGGTTGGGTTTTCCTGCATATAAGTTAAGAAGCGAGATGATCCAGTTGGGCTAACAAAACGTCGAAAACCATTTCTCGCTTTCGACGGCCGAACAAAAAACATACAAAAGCTTTATACAACTAACAAACTAGTTTCTATATACGTGAAGAAACAATTGGATGTGTTTATTCAAAGTTTACAGTCAATACACTAACTGTCCGACTTTGATGTTGCAGCGATAAAAGTTGAAAATAACGCCGTCTCACATTTTATAGAACCATCAAATGGAATGTATCGCATTGCTTGTGTGAACGACCGAATGAATTTGTAAATAAATACTTAAACGTTTATTGCGTTGGTTACATATTAGCATTACATTAGTTAAGGCCAATATTGACATATTTGTGTTCCAGAATTAGATAATATTTACTGTAATATAAATTAAATTGTTTAATTTTATTGACAAGGGATGATAGACTGATGAAATTTCTACCACCCAGTTTGTTTTGGGACGAAGTCCAACATTTCTCGGAATAATTTTGAATAGATTTTTAAGAACTTGTTAGATATTCCAAATGAGTTTTTAACAAATAAATATAGGTACTTAAAAAGTATTTGCCCAATCATTTGTGTCTGTATGTATGTATTTTATCTTTTCAGTTACTTGACTAGCTGTGTTAGCGACTTCGTCCGCTTAGAATAGTTATTTTGGGCGTCGAATTTGTTTTTGCAAACCTCCTCTTTAAAAATTTAAGCTGTTACCCACGGTCGTCGGTCGCGTCCCAATCGTTCTAGCAACCCAATCTTAAGAGAGAGACTTATAATGTCGTGGATATTTTTTACATCATGCATATTTTTTGGGCATCTTGGACCATTTTCGCAGCGTGCCCATCGGAATCCTACAAAGTTTCACATTTCCCTTAATATTATAGCCTTCCTCGATAAATGCTCTCACCAATACAAAAATAATTTTTCAATTCGAATCAGTAGTTCCTCAGATTAGCGCGTTCAAACCAACAAACAAACTCTTCAGCAGTATTAGTAGAGATGTATTCCCCTAAACTATGTATAAGTTTTCTCTGTTTTTTAGAAACATAAAGATTACTAAGATATATTATGTAATTAATTCTTATTTGAACATATTTATATGTCTATTATCCCAGATACAGAAAGTGCGTTTAGGATAATCTGTAGTAATCCTAAATAATATACCAATAATAGTCTGTGGTGACTGATGCAATTCGCAATAGTCATATTTACATAAACACATACTGGAACACGAGTAATTAACACCAAAGATCTAATTACACATGTTAAATTGATTGGCATACATTGGCGCGTCAAATATGTTTGTGTGTTTTAGAAACGACACTATGTTTAAAACAAATGATAATATTTTTATCTGTTTGTGTGCGGTCAAAAGGGATAAACTGAATTTGATGTACTTTTGTTTGGTACGCATACAAAATGTACAATAAGATCGTGAGTTCGATCCCCAAAAGGTCCAACATGTAGTAACAAGTCATTTTTCAATATATAATTTTTCTGAAACATATTAGACTTCATCTGGCAATCTGAATATTAAATGGCTGGAAGGAATATAGATCCCGTCCGGGTCACGAACCCCCGTCCACAGATGAAAAAGCCGAAAGCTTAATGCGTTTCGGTTTCAGTCTGTGGATTTCCGAATCAAAGGTCGACAGCGCATTTTGTTCAGATGGCTGAGGTATACTTCCATCATGTGAACCACATGCTTCCTGTCTTCTATCATTAAAAATAACGCTCGAAAGTCGGAGTCACTACAGGAACCGTTAAAATAGGATCACAATTTTATCTTATTGTCAACTGGCTTAAAGTTTTTTAAACAAGTTTTATATGTTTTTTTAGCAAAGTTTGAGCTAAACTTAATTAAAGCCTGTGTTTGCGGGGGGGGTCCCTCCCTTTTTTTTTTTTTTTTTTTTAAAAAAATCTGTCAGCAATTTTTGTTTTTTCTCTATCCCATTGTTGCTTAAAAATAGCACTAACAGCACAACAATTTATAGTGCTTCAAACATTCGGAAGTAAAAAGATTTCATAGAGAGCCAATGAATATTTGATAAACACGAGACGAAGCAATGGTTGACAATAAGAGTGGGTTTTGTCAATCTGTTTGTCACGTAATCGGTGTTACTGACACCAGCTTTCACATATATTTTTACAAGTTCTATAATATAGTGGTGAAGATCCTTAAATGAACTAATTAGAATTACCGACGATTAAATTGTCCTTACAAATTAAACATCGTCAACGTTGATAATTCTTTAAATAAAACACTTTAACGGTTTAAAACGCGATATATATAAGTTAAACTTATTTCAAATTTATTTTAACTAAGGCCCGACGTTTTGAAGGCTTTGCTGCTGTACTAGCGTAAACTACAGGCACCTTCTTAATATTTTTGTGGATGGTGCCGGGTGTACATATATCACGTTGCTTTGCTTTTAGGCCAAGATCAAAGTGTCATTAGACTAGCCACGTTTAACGTATACGTCCGTTAAGTTCGGTTAAAGCAACCCGCCCTAAGGAGATTTCAAAGCAATGAAAACAAATTGAATCGAGCATCGGTATTGTGCGTTCAATTGTGTATTCAGTTCGAGTCGCATACTTTATTAATCTTATTCCCTCGTCTCCATTCTGTATTTCCTATTGAGAGATTTATTCTACTTTGTTAAGTTCATTTATAATGTTATAGCATTTCCCGACGGATTTGCGTTCAAGGTTTGTTTTCTTACGTGTACCGGAACGGACCAATAAATCACATAGAATGAATCAGAATGGCACCGAAATTTACGTCCGTAGCAAATAAAATGTTAATTGAAACACTTTTAACTGTTTAAAACTGTGACATGGGAATAAATGGTCAAACGCTCAAAATCCACTGGAACAGTTCGAAACATCAAATATTTTTAAAATGTAACAATTACAATAATGCCCCGACGTTTTGGATGCTCTACGAATATGTTTTTTTCAAGTTAATCTACTGTAAAATATATAAAGTGTATTTAATGACGTACAAAAAATACTGTAGCAACTGCTTACTTCGTCCTTTAAAATGATAAATAAATGCGCCTTTATTACATTAACTAATTTTTTTTATTTGCTACAATAGTGTGAGAAACATTTAATAAATACGTTATATGTCTAGTGTGATAGATTTCTGTATCTTTGTATTGCTTCTTTCTATATAGCCTAAATTATTATTATGCACCTAAATTCAACGCGTTGTATTCCGGTTGTAAGCTGTATAGTGTATACCTTTTCAATAATTCAGTGCCGGTTGCCAAGTGATTAGCATATACTGGGGCCCAGGATTTCTGAACAGCGTAGATATCCCGTTTTGACAATCCGGAGATTGGGTTCACCACGTCTGGGTCACCGCCCCATCGAAGGTTGCTCAACCAACCGCCCATCTGGAAATAAAGTATGAACTAAAATATATGAAAATGATGTTTAAGCCTTCCTTGACAAATGCTATAAACACCACAAAAAAAAGAGAAAGTTTATTGGAACCAGTAATTTCTAAGATTAGCACGTTCACACAAACAAACTCTTCAGTTGTATATTATATGTGGATCAATATAGCTGTATTATAGCTCGATTAAAAAAAATGTCCTCGACACTATATGTCTATGGTTTAAGATTAACTTGCCAGAACTTCGGGATGCGACAGACGTCGTGGGTGACAGGTTGAATTTATAAAGATGAAGAGGTGGTTCGCAAAACCATATTTGACGCCCAAAATAACTAAACCACCAATAACACCAAAAGATAATACAATATAATAAAATCAATAACATTATAAATCTAAGATGGCCGCCGATATAAAATGGCTGATTACAAATTTTTCCTTAACCACCTCAATATGGGTATCAGATGAAAGGGCTACACTAGTAAAACACGATGATTATGTCAAAATTAAAAAAAAATGTAGTGCACAAAAATTAAACCGTATAACTTAAAAGTTTTTTTTAAGTTGATACTTTTAAATAAAACACTTTAACGGTTTAAAACGCGATAATTTTAACTTGAAGTTTTTAATATATAGCGTTTTAAACCGTAAAAGTGTTTTATCTAAATGTGTACTACTCGTGTAAACTATAGACAGTATTTAAGTTGATACTTGTTAATTTAGATCTAACCTTTTTTATTCAGAAATATTTGTCTATACGTCGTTCATCATAATATCTACCATAGAGCCCCGATAAGTATAATAAAAGCATTTATCTATCTAATGACATCTACGGTTCAAAGCAGACAGAAACTCTTTATCTGTGGTGAGTATCATTATATCTTCGGGTCACACAATAAATAGTCATTTATTTATCAATAACATATCATTAAGATACCAATATAACATCTGCAGACGTTATTCATCACGAGGAAACAGGTTCTTATTAGAAGAAATATTAACTAAAAATGTCTAAATAATATAGACAGCACACAGACTAGAAACATAAATGCTTAAAATTACAATTTTATGCCGAAAGTTAAAAATCTTTATAATTATATAGTGCTATCATGTATAATAACTTGTGTAAATATTAGTGTATATATAATAATAGAAAGATTATAAAGTCTTTAAACTCTTGGATTTAAAGATAATAAAAACTATTGTAGTTCCCACGTACCATCTATACTAATATATAAAGCTAAAGAGTTTGTTTGTATGTTTATTTGTTTAAACGCGACGATCTCATACCCTATTGGTTCGAATTATAACAATATTTTTGCTTTGGTTAGAGCCTTAATCGAGGAAGGTATTTTTTATAGGCTAACAGTGGGAAATGTGGGAAAACGGGGAAAAATATTCATCTAAATGAGTTTCCGATGCGTACGCTGCGAAAACGGTTCAAGATACCAAAAAATATGTATCAAATAATGATTCCTCTTTAAATGGTGAAAAAAATATGTCTTTTAGGATAACCTTCCAAGCACGACGGAACGCGATCGAATTTATAAAGATGAAGAGAAGATTTGCCAAAACAAATTTGGGTGCCCAAAATCGGCACGCAAATTAGAGTACACGAACGAAGTCGTTGACACAGCTATCATATATTCGCTAAAAAATGGGGAACAGTTTAAGAAATAATTATGTTGAAAATTTTGGACAACTGACACATGAATTGTATAACTTTCGAATTTCTCATTTTAAAGTTTTGCAAAACGAATGTATACTAAAATATTTCTTTTAAAATATCACATTTCACGTTTGACATGTGATAATAGGATATATTAGGTTTCTTTGTTTTTACAATTTACAAAATAGACATGTTTCGTTTGTTTTAGCAGTGCCAACTGGGGCCTGTCAATTTACACGTCACAATGAACGTATGGCAGACATATTTCTATGTCCATTTTTTCATCCAGCATTCAACCTTTAGAAAGGTATACACTTTCACGTTGCTTGGGCAACTGAAACAAATTCTTAAGGATTAGAATCCCCCGAACATTTCGCCTCTTGCGCATCGCTTTTTATAACTGCGTCACGGAGGTCATGTTGATAAAGGCGTATAATATAAATGGTAATTTTATTTCGCTTCTATCTTAAGCTTTATGTTTGACGGGCTCTTTAGAAGATTTGGAAGCATTTCGATATTCCTTTGATATTCAGATTTCTAGACGATGTCCAAAACGTTTCAGAAATTATAAAGTTATTAGAAACCAATTTACAACTTTTCTGAAACATTTAGAGTTCTGTAAGACTACCCTCTACTGGAAAGCTGTTAAAATTCGAATTCCCAAATCCAAAATAGGTTTGCATCTTGTTTAGATGCTGTATGGCTGTGATATGTGACCTTCTGTGAGTGTACTTCTCCGTCATAAAAAAAAAACCTGTTCATCCCATTTGATCCCATCCATTATTAGAAGGCACCTTAGTTGGTCAAGTACATCCATTTGCAATTGTAAATACGAATTAATGCCACGACTTACAATGTATATTTCAGTAATAACTCGATGCCCTACGCTATTTGAGTGCTAATACTATGTTGTTTGACCACAAACAAATATAACACGACCTCGTTTGTGCTAATATTTGACTGTGAACTAGCGCGGACATTCTACGCGCGATCGACTTTTTAGATGTATTATGGGATTATACAATGATTAGTAAATACAATTTATTATATGTACTTTAATATATTTATGGTACCACTGTCAAACCAGATAATAGTACTATTGTAATACTATCACATATTTAGTGCAGCGGGTGCAATATCTTGCGAACCCATTGGTTATGATTCTCCTACATTTAGGCGCCTCAGTAGCTTTGTAATTAAACGTGGTGCCTTTTTTTAAGATAGAGGAGGACAAATAAGCAAGGGATATACTTGATGGTAGCCAGGTAACATCGCAAAAAGATGTTGACCAATTTTTTCGGGTTTGTTTCAGAAATCCCAAGAATGTTATGTAGCCAAAGAAAGAATAAACTGTTACGCCAGGGGACAAAAATTTGTCAATTAGGTACTTCCGTGTTAATAAAACCGAGCAGTGAAATGGGCACAGAAATATGTCCACATTATATTCCACAAGGGACAAGGTATTTACTAAACTACTATCTATATGTCTATGTAATAACTACAATTGATGCAGTAGTGTAGTTGTAAAGATAGTTTCGGTTCAGGAGGGCACAAATTTTCAAATAACTGCTGTCGTAAATAAAACGAATCAGTTTCAACGTTTCTGCCTTATGCCCCCAAATTTGTTTGTAATTAAAAAGAATTTTTGACGTCTATTAATTTCGTATGTAGTTGAACTCTGCTTATCGTATAAACTTTTTAAAAATAAACCCGATACCATTGGCAAACAGATAATACAATCTGTACAAATAAAGGATTTAAGTAAATAATTGTATTGTTTGATATGTAGAGTCATGTGGGCATGTAATCCTATTTGTATAAGTGTAAGTAGGCATGTGATTCTTGTTGTTTGCTAGATAAGTACTCATGTTTGCAATAATAACATTTATATAAAAATAGATATAAGAATGTAATAGCGAGGTACTGCGTTAAGGTTTTCGATAGAGTTAGTATTTAGAGCTACTAGAAGGCAGTTGTTGAACTTTGGTTTAAGTTTTTAAGTGTAATATAAGTAAAGACAACGAAAAAAATTATTCATACCAAATATAACACTTCAACAGATTAAAAAAACAAACGCAAAAAAGGTTTTACTTAAAAAAAATAAAATTCGAATTCCGAACAAAATAACCACAGACAATAATTCGTGTAACAAAAAAATAAAAACATTACAGTGATAAAAAACTTACGTTAGCGTTGATTGAATTCCGACGTTATAATTTATCAGAAAATCACGACTAAAGTCAATCGCGTTTGGTTTATTACTGATCTTGACTTGTTTAGATCTATCTTGTTATCGATTTACGATAGGTCCCCAGTTCATTGTCACATTCATGTAAATCGCCAGAGAATTATTAAACACAACTGTTTTATGCTATTCTGTCTGTCACAAGAAGTGATGGCAGACAAAAACTGAAGTGATTTATAATTGGGCTTCTACGAGTACTCGTAAAAAGAATTGTAAAACAATTGGATATCAAACAAGTTAGACCTGTTCTTGGAATGACTGAATTGGGCTAAACAATTCAACACGTTTTACGTCTTAAATGTACGTTGTAACGTGATAGAATAATATCATAAGACTTGATCTAATGTAATGGCGGGGATTAGGCTTTTTAAATAGTGCGTGTAGTTTACGCGAGCAGTACACATTTTCATTTTTAATTTAAATAAAACACCTTAACGGTTTAAATCTATATTTTTATATAATTAGTTAAATTTATTTGAAAATTATATTAACTTCAGCCCGATGTTTCGGCTGCAGCAGCATTTTTACATAAGTTTAATTAATATACATAACGCGTTTTAAACTGATAAAGTGTTATATATTTAATTTTTTATGTGGCAATTTGTAGATTACACCAATGACAATTATATCTTAATAATAATTCTGTGCTCATGTGTTAATTTATTTACGAACATTTAAACAGACATATGTGACTTTTTTGATTAAACTACTTAGGTTTCGAAGCGAGATTCAAACCCAGGAAGCTTATCGCGTAAAACATAGTATAAAAATATATATACACTGACAAAATTTAAGCTCGTACAACGCCCGAACGCCGAGAAGTTCAAAGATGACATTGCCTCTTTTAAAGATAAAATGTCCGATGACGAGGTTCATAAAAAAACAACGTAGTACGTTGTACTAACGCAGTATTGTACGACCTTTTATCACAACACAGCGATTCCAAGAAAAACTTAAATTAAAAAGGTAATTACTGCTAGTGACTTGCATTGTATCGGGAGCCTTATTTTATTGGATCATAATTAAATAAATTAATCACACAAGTGGAAACCGTCGGAAGTGGAAAACAAATCAATAGTCACGTGAGGTTTATAAGAACACAGTTAAAACAAAATGCAGTAGGGAATAGGGATAACAATTTGACCTGTTTTAACAGAATTTAAACACACGATACTACGAGACAAACGATACTTATATAGTTTAAAAATGTTTAACCCCTTTTCACACCTAGGTAATTAGACTTAATAATATGTAAATTGGTTTGGACAAAATTTATATATACATTATATGTAAGTATATTAAAACTGTCGCATCTTTCTTAGACTAAGTGAGTACCTATATGGATAGTGTACTAATGGATAACTGTACCCACGATACTCAGAAGCCAAAATGTATAATTTTAAAAATAAATTGAAAAAATTTTCGATGCGGGCAGGACTTGAACCGGCATTGTCAGCGTACCATGCTGTTGCTCTACCAATTGAGCTACCGAATCCTACACCTCATCGAACTTTTTCAACTTATTGATACATGCACCTCTTGTGCAATGTAATTAATTCAGCCTTAATACTTGTGTATAAGGGTTTAGCTTTCAAAAATCATTGAAGCTTTTAAAATACAATTGAAGTTTAAGAAACTTTAATATTTTTCACATGTTATTGCCATCATATGCAAAAAAGTGTTTTATTTAATGCTTACCGTTCCCATAAAGTACAAATATATTCGCTTATCTGCCATTGACTGGATTACTTGGTATTTGCCTTTAATTATTACATTGCCATACTCGCGTATATTTTTATTCAAAGTGATCTAGGCTACAAACATGGATTTAGGTAAAACGGAAATAATTACTTTCTGCATTTAAGAAAGTATGTTAAGTATATAGAGTTATTGATTTTTGTGTAGCTTGTATGTAACAAAGACACTCCCAACTGTTCAATTCAATCTGTGCTAAACATTTTATCGCCGTTGACCCCACAAGTTGAATTATATGAATTATACATGGCTTCTTACATTATACATCATTCCGTATGTTTTCAAGATGCACATTTTATTGCGAAAAACGTTATAGCGACGCAATTCTTTAACCTACATAGCTTCATGGGTTGAGTGCTTCGAATTTTATTTATTTACGCGTAACATATCTCGATTGTTTTATATTTTTGCTTCTTTGCTTTTTTTCTGTTTAGGAGGTATACATTTTCAATATTGATGTAAATAAATCATTTTTTAACTTTTATTACGCTTTGACCTGGTATCATGGGTTCAAATCTCACATGGATCATCCATTTTTCATTCAAGTATTATTTACTTTTAATGTATACAAAATCAAATATGAAACTCATATTTATTTAAACAAAGAACATCTTACAACTAATAGATATTATTAATAACACAGTGAAGTTATAAATTATCATTTGACATTTATGTCTCCTTTGAGAACCATGTCTAACACGATAAGTACCTTATTCTCGAGCCATAGCTTTTTGTGCAACGCGCTCTAAATTAAGGAAAATTATAATAAAATTGGTTTATGCAAACTTTAAGTCATCAACATATCGTCTTAATACATGTTACTATTCGGTTTTAAACAATTTTAATTTAAGGCTAATCTTGTTCTCATATTTTAATGTCCATTTACGCATATGTTATAATATTTTATTTTCTTCTTAAAATTAAATGCCGCGTTTATTACGTAAATTTTTTAAGACTGGCAATTTACAATTTGCGGTAATGTCTATTTTGACGTTTGAAGTTTTGTACTTGTCACATGAAGGCTGTCAGTTTTAACTTATCTAATTACATCCACGCTTGTTGAGATGTTTTGTGTATGTTTTTTTAACTTAACAACAGAGTAATTATTATTTTTATCATGGCTAACATAAGTGAAACAGCAGTTAAAAACATTGGTAATGTGTTAAACGACCCATCTCGCCCAATGAAAGAGAGATTTAGGGCCTTATTTACACTTCGAAATATAGGTGGAGAAACCGCAATCAATTGTATTAGCAAATGTTTTAACGATGATTCAGTGCTTTTAAAACATGAGTTGGCCTACTGTCTCGGTCAGATGCAGGACAAAATTGCAATTCCGATTCTAAGGAATGTGTTAGAAAATAAAAATCAAGATCCTATAGTTCGGCATGAGGCAGGTTAGTTTTATCAAAACATGACACAGCTCACGTTCACGATAAATAAGTGATATAGCGATAAAGATATGGTTTTAGTGATTACCTTTGGTTGAAGTTACATTCATTGAACCCTAGAATCATAGGGCATGTCTATAATCCTATTGTTTGGCGTAGACCCTTAAAATAGGATTCTGGAAGAACTTAAGAAAGTACTAGTTAAAATAAAGCAGCTTACTAATTAGTTAAAGTTAGTAAGGATTTTAGCAATAAAGAGTTGATTATATTATTATTGCTAATACCAATAGTATATGTTCATATGCTTTAACTTTAAAAACTCATAGTTCAGTAAAAAGTTTATATTTTTTAACTTAACAGATCTAAGACAATATTTCTCTAAATTTCAGGAGAGGCACTGGGTGCTATTGGTGATCCAAATTTATTAGAGATATTAGAAAAGTACCAGAACGACCCAGCCATAGAAGTAGCTGAAACATGCCAAATAGCCTTGCAAAGACTCAACTGGGTGAGGTATGAGAGTAATGAAAATTTGAGTAAAAGTAAATTCCTCTCTATTGATCCAGCGCCGCCTAGTAGTGAGGAGAATGTGGAGTCACTCAGAAGCACTATGATGGATGAAACAGAATCGCTGTTTGAAAGATACAGAGCTATGTTTAGCCTAAGGAATTTAGGAACCACTGAAAGTATTAATGCATTGGGAGAAGGTAATTAATAGCGATAGGCCAAAGTACTTTTCATAATTTATTTTATTGTTGGAAATCATCAGAGAAGTTCAAGTATACACCAGACAGAAGGCTATATAAACAAGCCTCAAGCAACGGCTCGTTCACTTATTTTGCCGCCATTGAATGGAACAGACATGCTGCCTGGTCAATAGGAATTTGTTCAATTAAAATTTATTTAGTTATTGTATCATTTTGTTTCTTTAGTAAATCCGCTTCTGATTTCTAAAAGTATTGTATGTGGACATTTAGAAGAAAAAAAAAGTTGCTGTTTTTTAGTTAAAAATAATATTTAATTAGCATTTATTAAGTCAATTTAAAGATTGTATACCTGTCTAGCAGTTTCAATCGCTTTACACTAGAGAAAACGTGAAATATTTTGAATATGTTTTTATATTTCAAACCATAATAATGAAATGAAAAATATACATTTTACAGGGTTTAAAGCTAGCAGCGCCCTCTTCCGTCATGAAGTGGCGTTTATATTCGGCCAGATGCAAGATGAAAGAAGTATACCCTTCTTGAAGCAGACTCTGGAAGATATAAAGGAACATGAGATGGTGCGCCACGAAGCAGCTGAAGCCCTTGGCTCGATTGCAACGGACGAGTGTGTCGAAGTTCTTAAAAGGTAAAGTTAATATTCCTATTAGGTGTTTATTATGGATAGTAGATGTCCAGATATTGTTTGTAGTTTACGCGAGTAGTATAAACACAAAACGCGAAATATATTAGTTATTTAGTGTTGGTTAACAGCCATGGTCCCCCCTTGAACGCGACTGCTGCAAAGCATCCGATACGACGGGCCCTTCTTAAAATCAGTTTCAAATAACATAACTAATATATTACGCGTTTTAAACCGTAACAGGGATCCAAAGTGTAAGTAAGTGCATTGCAGAATATTTTTCAATTGTTTATGAAAGTCGCGGCTTAGCCATAATGAAACGACAGGTCAAAAAAGATAATAATTTGTTTTAAATAAAGATTATTTTTACCAAATAAATAAAAATAGTGACATATATAATCTAGATGAATTATAGCTTTTATAACATCTTAAGCGTGTAAAAAGGTGAGAATAAGGTTTTATTTATATTTTTAAAAAAAAAATAGTATTTTTACCATCTATAGTTTACGCGAGTAGTACACATTTAAATAAAACACTTTAACGGTTTAAAACGCGATATAAGTTTAACTAATATGTCGCGTTTTAAACCGTTAAAGTATTTTATTTAAAAAGTATTTATACCAGTTCATCGTTTCTGTTTTAGATATCTAAACGATCCACGGCCTGTAGTTCGAGAAAGCTGCGAGGTTGCCTTGGATATGTCGGAGTATGAAAACAGTCCAGAGTTCCAATATGCTAACACCTTAGTCACTGTTGAAAGTTAATTAAAATTCATTCTTATTTCATTTTACCTACACGCTATACTTTTTTTGTAATAACAGGGATTTGCCAATTTTGCACAAAATTTGATGTATATAAAAAAATTAATTGTTTAACTTGCATATATAAATCATTAGCTTTTTCAGTTTTTTTGTCTAATGTGGCATTGGTAACTAAAATTGTAAACATAGGTAAAAGTTAAATTAACATATTTGATTCGGTTTATATAACTCCGATACATTGAATATTGTATGTTACATATATGGTTTTAAACCATCTTGTTATTGAGAAACATTAAAATTGCTTTCTGTTATTCGACTTACCAAATAGTAAACTCAAGTGAGATTTTATTGTTATAAAATGAAATGCATTTGAATTAGTACTGTGTTTTACTGTTCTCGTGATCAACAATACAACTGCGTTTGAGGTGAGTCTCCTTTAAAAAAATTGAGGCATATTAAATTAAAACACTTGAATTATGGAGAGACATTTTTGGCCATATCATACTGAACGTGGTTTGATAGGTTTATTTTAAATCAAATTTTAGTACACATGATCTACTAGTTAAGAAAGCTGAAAATTATTTCCAATTATCCAAAGAAATAGGTGTTTATCTAGATAGGTTGAGACGTTATTCGGAAGAGGTACTTCACCATCCATCAAGTGAAAAGTCATTCTTTACAGGAGAGGTCGTCGTGGAAAGACACATTTCTGTGTCCGTGTCATCGATTATATTGACCATTAAGTGGTTGGTAAGACGTCTGTGCCTTAACGAAACAATTTATCGTTTCCCTGGCAGTCGAACCCACTAACAGCTCAACGCAAATGCTAGGGGAGGCGTTTACCCATTGAGCTACAGGAATACACACAAGAATCATTTGAACAACCAGAATCGAAGTCGCGACTGCGAAATCGGGTGCAGGCATTAATAAGTCTTCCATTGTAGATGTCGAACGCGTTTGAAACTGAGCAAACCTCTTTCTTCGGTTTTACGCACGAGGTGAGGATCAGTTCCAGTACAATGGAGCTGATAGAGGAACTGGAGAAATCCGTTTGGCAGCATTCGAAGGGCGACCGGCAGGTTCGGAGGTACTTCGACAATTACGATACACCTTTCGTCGGTGAGGGTAGGCGAAAAACGAACTTTAATAGCTATTAAATTTTTGAAATTGCATGGTGTGTTATTAAATTTTATGACTAAAGTGATCGTTATCCACCAGGTCCAACATTTTTTAATCACGATTCGTTTTCAGTCTGTGGATATCCAAAACCAAAATAAGTCGATCGTATATAATGTTTAGATGTTACATGGGTGGGGTTTTTTACCTACCTTCAAGTTAACCCCAGTGGTGTAACTATACCGTTCGAGGCCCGTGGCAAATTCATCGAATGGGCCCTCCCACTTTCCTTTATATATTATAAAGAACCAACAATTGAGATTTCCTGACCGGGGGCCCTTTCGGGCTGGGGGACCGTGGCATTTTGCCGACTTGCCACCCTATAGTTTCGCTTAATCTTCAAATGGAACTACTACAACTACTTCAAACCGAGGCCCTGTTCAGTTAAGCAGTATATCATATGTCTTGTATATTGTTTGTGTGCCCTTTAATCCTTTCTTGTGTCTTCCTTTTATAAATCACAATTAACTAAGAGCTCTTTTAGTCAATAACCTGACTTTTAGGCAGTAATTAGTATATGCGAGTAGCGCACACTTTTGACGGTATTAAATTCGGAACATATTAATTGACTACTTTAAACTTTTCCGAAACTTTGTTTTATTTATTATGTATTTGGCGTTTTAAACCGTTAATAACATTTTATTTAAATAATCTATAGAGCTGAAGAGTTTGTTTGTTTGTTTAAACGCGCTAATCACAGATTATGGCAATTTAAAAATCTTTTTGTGTTGGTAAGAGCATTGAACGAGGGAATTGTGGAGAAACGGGGAAAATTATTCACCTTTGTTGGCCTCCGCTGCGAAAACAGTTCAAGATATACAAAGATTATATGTCTATCTTTTAAGATCAACTGGCAAGACCGACGTCGTTGGTAACAGTTTAAATCTATGAAGATGAAGAATAGGTTTGCAAAAATCAATTTTGCCCAAAATAATCATTCTAAGAAGTCACTGGCACAGCTAAGTATAGGTATCATAAAAATTATGTTGTTGTATTATTATATTGCATTCCTCATTATGGGAATGGGTCGTGCTTGTCGTGAAATAGTTTTGTTGTGATATAAATTTGTCAAGTATAAATTAGTGGGCAAAATTATCTGTCTCTAAAACAAATTAATAGGCCGCCAATATTATTTCTTATGTTTAATAGCGATAATGGTTTAAAGCGATCGCCGAAGCGAAGAATGAAAGTAGGTACACGGAAAACCAATTAATTTTAGCTACACCTACGCTCAGTGCGCCCTTTTATTAAGAACGCCCTAACTTGATACGGAATATGCGAGAAATAATATTACTTCCCTAATTAATATGACGTGACTTGGGAGCTGTTGAAAATAATCTCGTCAAATTATACGCGTCGAAAGTTGCCCGCGCCCCTTTAAATGTACTTCGCATGTGACGGTTTATATCGCTTCTAATGACTGAAAAATGTTCGCGCACTTTGCGAGCGCTGAACGACTTCGGACGGCTTTTTAATTTCACACATCGATCATATAGACGTAATGACGTGATTGAGTATCATTTGTTTTTAATTCAACGATCTCTTACGCGCCCCTGTTTTGAGTAGTTTTAACTTAGAATGATGTTTAGGCTTACATTGAATATGCTGAACGGTCAAAATGTCTAATGGAATTGGAGAGTGAAGGTTTTATTAACAACTAGTGGACCAGACAGACTTTTTTTAATGTTAGAGGAGGACAGACAATAGGACACTAGATGAGGAACGCGACCTATTTTGGCTTTGGATATTCGGAAATCCACAGACTGAAACCTAAACGTGATTAACCCTTACGCTTCACCGCTTTTCCATCTGTGGACGGTGGTCCGTGATCCAGACCTGATTTAGATTTTCAGACGAATTCAACATGTTTAAAAAAAAAAATTGTTGGGCCTGTTGGGGATCGAACCCTCGACCCGTTGTTTTTTAGCCATATATTTCTACCATTAGACTAACGAGCCGGTCGTAAACTTGTCAAACATTATTAATTAAAGGACGAACAATGTCAGCGTTAAATATCATTTGACTTAAATATTTCTTTAAGTTAAAATTAATATCACTTGTTAATAGATATAATGTGTAAATTGGTTGGAATAATATGTCGGCCCGCCAGTATCAATTTTTTTCAAAAATCGATTTTCGATTTATATAGTAATAAGTATACTAATAATTAACATTATTTACAAGCACTCATTTAACACACCAAGTAGATATCATTGTGAAGTATAATTTTTAATTTACGGATTATAATTTCATTTTGCCGAATAGATCTAAAATGATTAAGCAAAGGTTATTTCGACCCGGCTTTTAAATTAGCCGTCTGCCAAAATTCAATTTAAATAAATAAGTATTGGAAATGTAATAAGGAAGTCATCTACGGGATAGCTTACAGGTTTAATCAGAACACAAAATTCTTAATTCACGATCTGAATTTAAAGACGCTGCGAAATGTCGATTTTATAGCGAGATCTGCGATAGAGAACAACGCTCCAACTCGGGAAAGATTTTGCTTGTAATCCTATCTTTTATTTATGTGTATCCTTCTTCGAAATGGCAGACATTCTGAATTAATGTTGCCAGATAGATGGACGCAAACTTAACTTAAAGTGTTTACGTAAGGCCTTGCAAATTCGTATATTTAGTTTATATGACGTAGATTTTCTTTAATGTCGTAAGTCGCTAACTTAAATATAAAGGAATAGAAACCTACTGAAAGATTTACCTTGAGGAAAGACTGTACCAAATAACAGCATCCACCAAGCGTCCAGCATAGTTTACCTTTTAAATATATATTTATGTATGTGGTACCTACATAGTATAATAGTAATAAATAGTTTTAGTTTTATATCAACGATCTATTAGATTTATAGAATACCAAATAAACGTGAATATAATAAATAAAATAGTTCAACTTTTGTCTCTTCATCTCAATCACCTAATAGATGTTGTTTAAAATAGTCAGTATTCTAACCTAAATTATTTGAGCCAATAAGTTACTCATTTGATGTGACTAAAAACCAATAAATTAGTTTATTTTAAATAAAACATTTTAACAGTTTAAAACGCGATATATTAGTAAAACTTATTTGAAAATGATTTTTAACTTCGGCCCGACGTTTCGGATGCTTTGCAGCAGCCGTGGTCACTGGGAGACTAAAGATGGAGGATGTCTCTCGAAACGTCGGGCCGAAGTTAAAAATCATTTTCAAATAAGTTTAACTAATATATCGCGTTTTAAACCGTTAAAGTGTTTTTTATTGAAATGTGTACTACTCGCATAAACTATAGACAGTACTAAATTACTTTCTTGTTGGTTTTCTAACGCCCTCCGCATTTCGAGTCAGATTGCCTTAAAATAGCCTAAAAAGTTACAAAAGTAACCATCTGGCAACACTCAACTTTGTTTGCGAGGACGGTCAGCGACAGTCTATTTACACAGAACAGGTACCTTGTTATTATTTTCATTTTTTATCGTTTGTATATACAGTTTTCAGTCAGTGAAAAGGCTTTTATTTTTCCACCTTTTATCGCACTGGACACTACATATAGTTTTCAGTTTTAACTGAAAAAGTTATGGGAGGATTCTGTTGATATCAAATATTTATAACTTTAGGGCTTTTTGTTTCCTCTGCAAAACATAAGGTGATTTATATTTTTGCTAGATGTGATGTTAATGTTTTTTTTATAAATAAGAAAAAGCATTAGTACATATATACATACTAGCTAAGCCTCATAAGTTTATATTTTAAATTAAAAATCGATTATAAATTTAAGACATTATTCGAGTCGGGCAGGACTTAAACCGCGCATCCCCACCGCCTTGGCTACCGAGTCCTTAGTTCTCGTCGTTTTTTTTGACCTGATTGATACATGCACCTCTTGCGCAGTTTCTATTTTCTTGTGTTTTGACATTATTTTCAGCACCAAAAAAATATACATATCAATGTAATCAATATAAGAGTTAAATTTAACGTGAAATGGAATCGGCTTTTTTTAACATAGTTTATATTGTTTTATTACTTATATACTTATTATTATAATTTCTCAAGACAAAATTATATATCTACCCATTTTCACTTATGAAGGCGATATTAAACAAATATAGTAGGTACCTTTATAAAAGCTAACTGTTTTATTAGAAGTAGTAGTAGAAATAATGTCGTGTTTTAATCGGTTAAAAAATTACATCCTGCGAGTATTTTAGTCGTATTTAGTTAATCGTTCGATGCTCGCGCGATACTGTACAAATTTACGGTCGTTCGGATCGGTGTAATAGTCATCCATGTTAGAGAAAAGTGAACAATAAGCAGGAGCCAAAGCAATTGGCATCTAATGTAAAATGCAACGGCAATAGTGTTTTATGGACATTCGAAGTCGCTCCGAGATCGTTACAAATGTATATATAGACATTCATTTTGAATATTTCATAATATTGCTTAGAGGAATATTCGATAGCATTCTAACGTACTTTTAAGGCTGGACAGACAATGTGCGAAGTCCCGTTAACCTCGTGGGGCATGGAGCGGACACATTTCTGTGTCCGTTTCACTGACGTTCTTTAACAGGCAAGTAGTCGATCAGACTTCTGTGCCCTGCCTGACCGAAACAATTTTTTGTTTCGCTGTGATTCGAACCCAGGGCCTCTCACGCTTAACGCAATGCTGGGCAATACGTTTGACCATTTGACTATAGAGGCGGTCTGGACAGACAAGCTTCGATTAAAATACATAATATCTATATTTTACGCGAAAAGTTCACGTTAAGACAAAACCCTCTTAATGGTTTAAAGCTGTTTTATTTGATTCGAATGAAATATACTAAAGAGAAAGACGAAATAAGTTCGCCCATAATTAAAAAATAAATATAAACCTTATGTCAGAATAGGAATGTTGAAATTCTGTCTGGGTCACAAATCACGCCCACAGATAAAAAATCCGTGATGTTTAATCACGTCTCAGTTTTATTATTTATTTAATTCTTCATT